GCCTATCACGACCCAAATTGAGTTTATTACTCACAAATCTAGTCTCAGCCCACAATTTGAAAAATAGTGTTTTAAGGTTCCTTTAATACAATACTTGGATAGTTACAGCTGAAGAGAGGAAGGTTAGAGATGGGAACTTGCCCAGGTCACTCTGGGACTCAGAACAACACCTAGGATGGTGCTTCAGGTTTCTTCCTTCCTTCCTTCCTTCCTTCCTTCCTTTCTTTCCTTTTATTTTCTTTCTTCCTTTCTTTTCTCTCTCTTTCCTTCCTTCCTTCCTTTCTTTTTCTTTCTTTCTTTCTCCCTTCCTTCCACCCTACCTTCCTTCCTTTTCTTCTTTTCTTCCTTTCCTTTTGAGATAGGGTCTCACTCTGTGGTCCAGGCTACAGTGCAGTGGCATCATCATAGCTCACTACAACCTCAAAACTCCTGGGCTCAAGTGATCCTCCTGCCTCAGTCTCCTGAGTAGCTGGGACTACAGGCACATGCCACCACGGCCAGCTAATTTTTTAATTTTTTTGTAGAGATGGGGTCTTGCTATTGCCCAGGCTGGTCTAGAACTCCTGGCTTCAAGTGATCCTCCTGCCTGGGCCTCCCAGAGTGCTAGGATTACGGGCGTGAGCTACCACTCCTGGCCACTTAGAGTTTAATTAACGGGTCTTGGTGAACCCAGTGACATTACTGTCGAGGTACATCCAGTGCTCATGCAGGTCATAGCCACCACTACATGTGTGTGCGCGCGCGCATGTGCATGTGTGTGTGTGTGTGTGTGTGTGTGTGTGTGTGTGTTCTATTCCCAAGCACGAATGGCACACTGGAATGTAATCTCAGCCACTGATGGTCAGATTGGTGCCGGCCTCTGGAAACTAAGCCCTATGGCATCCCGTACGTGAATCCTCCTTGATGATTTCTGTTACCTGAGTGCACAGGGTGGACCTGGCTTAGCAGCGTTTTATTTGGTAGCCCAGGAACTAAGCATTAACTCCACCAGCACGTTATGCAGATTAAATAGGTAGGGAGTCACCTGCCACTGTCCAGGGTCTGCTTCTGAAATACGGAAGGTGGAAGTTCTCACGTGTCCCATGCTTGCTCCGTAGAATGCCTCCTGGAAGACGTTCGAGATTGACTACAGCCGGGACCGCTTCCTCAAGGATGGCCAGCCGTTTCGCTACATCTCAGGAAGTATTCACTACTCCCGCGTGCCCCGCTTCTACTGGAAGGATCGGCTGCTGAAGATGAAGATGGCTGGGCTGAACGCCATCCAGACGTGAGTAAGAGGGCGTGTGGCTCTCACCTGGGCCTGGACACCTGTGCTAGAGAGAGGTACAGCTGCATTCTCAGTGCAGCTATCGCATTGCTCAGAAATGGGAGCTAGTCCAGTGTGGCGTTCTGGGAAGAGCGTGTCATGAGTCGGACTGGCCCTTCTTTGGATGACCACTGCTTCCAATCTTGAATTTTGCCAACAGAAGTCATAAAATAAATATATATCAGCGTAAAAAGGCAAGAGGGGGAGAAAAGACAAAGGGAAGTAGCAATGGTTGGGCACTTACCAGGTCCAGGGCACTTTACACGAACGATTCCAGTTCTCTGAGGTAGGTATTTCTGTTCCCGTTTATAGCTGGTAAAACTGAAATTTGCCCAAGCTCATATCTTTGATCAGGTCCAGCTAGGATTTGAACATAAGGCACGTAGGCAGCTGTAGCATAAGGTGTGGCCGTAGACGGCCGTAGCTGCTCTCAGCTCCCAGGGTGTAGAGGTAGAAAGATGTGATACTTTCTGTCACCCATCATAAGGGTCACAGCCGACACTCCTATAACAAGACAGATTAACAAGAGAAAAGCATAACAAATTTATTTAATCAAAGTTTACACGATACAAGAGCCTTTAGAAATGAAGACCCAAAGACCCAGGGAAAACTGTCTGTTTTTGTGCTTAGGTTCAGTGAAGAATAGGTAGCCCTTAAAAATGCGACTGGACAAAAGGGTGTGAGTTCATGGTAATGGACTGGTGGGGAAACCCAGCAAGGCCTGTCTGTTGACACTCTTCTTGGCCTCTCTAGACAGCAGCCATCCTTCCTCCTGGGTATAGCGCAAGACCCCTCTGGAATGAGGGTCTCCAAGGAAGAAGGGAGACAGTGATTTTTCTAGGTTTTATGGCTTGCTTTAGGGGAGAGGGGTTCTAGATTCTGTGACCTGCCTTGGGGAAGGAGAATTCTGGTTTCTGTGACTTGCTTTGGGGGAGGAAAGGGGGTGGGGGTCAGTAGGGCAAGAGAAGGTCTGGGACAGAAACTTTGCTTCTGAGGCCTTCTAATCTCCTTTAGTGCAAAGTACTCAGCGCACCAAGGTGCCACACTTTGGGGTATTGTTTTCCAAGTCCCAGCAAGGGAATAAGGCTTGTCCTAAGGTAGATTCTTCCCATGCACGTGCTAACCAGGCCTGACCTTGCTTAGCTTTTGAGATTAGACAAGATTGGCACGTTCAGGGTGACATGGCTTTAGACTTTAGGTAGATTTCTAAAACCCAGTTTATCTTTGTGGTTCTGGTGGGGTAATTGTACAACCTCAGGGTGTAAAGTTACCTCAATAGCTATCTCTCTTCATCTCTTCTGCTCTTCTTGTAAAGTACCTGGGAAGAAAGCTGGAGAGGTTGGCCGCTCTGCTTTCTGCCGTGCTGATGTAGATTGCCGATAGCTGTTTAAAGACCACGAGTGAGGCAGCTTCCTGAGTCAGACAGACAGGAAGAATCCCACTCAGGATTCTGGTGCCAAGGCCACTGGCAGAGTGAGCCTCAGTTTACCTGTTTGTAGTTTGACACTGAGCTCCAGGGGACCCTGAAATCGTGGGATCATGAAAAAGGACACAAGCTGGGCTCTTCAAAGAGACACTTGTGATGGGAATGAGTGGCTTCTCATATCAAGTGGTAGCCCATGCTGTAGGTAGGAGGTTTTGTCATTTTCCCTCCTGCCATGCTATTCCTGACAAAATCATCTGTCAGAAGGTCAGAGGAGTTGGAGGTTTTTCTACTTTTATTAAAAATTATTTTTCAAAAAATAAGGATACCTCTTACTACTTTAGCAAGATATTTTCATTTTTCCTAAGCCTTACACAGGCATATATAATTTTTATATAATAGGAATTAGTGTTCAT